TGTCATGCAAACATAACATTTTGTTCTAGGCTCAGTGCCAAGTACATACTGTATACCTAAGCTCTACCCTTATTTACTGCAGGCTATACAAGCTAAAAAGGCTACTCAAGATATAAATTGTTCAGAAGCCAAAATGTTGGATCAAAGCTAGTCTGGTGGTTATATCTATCTGTTCACATGTATACAAATGACAGTTGTATTAACTTACATTGACATTTTACAATACTTAAACAGTAGAACATGACATCAAAAAAAAAAAAAAACCTTACCTCTACTTCATTGACACGGTTTACTGTACCTCAGATCTTTACTGGATCGTAGAATCACCCATTCATCCACGTTGTCCAAAAGACAGCACCTTATAGAAAGCTATACTTTAAAAAGAAAACAAAAAAACCTTCCATTTATTTCCTAACATGCATGATCTGCGGCTATCATCCTTTATCCCCACTTCACATCCAACTCAAACAAGCATGTGCACACCAGGTGTCTGGGTCATACTTACTCCAGGTCAGTAACACACTAACACTACAGGTAGGTATATGAGCCTTCAACAGGTTAAGCAAGCTTTCACAAAGAATTTGCAACGCTTTTAATTGTCTTCTTGAAGTCTTAAGCTGGTCATACACGTGTAGACTTTTGGATGAAAATGTTTATAAGAAAAGTCGGCCGAAAATTCTTTGACAGCAAGGACAGAAAAATTCGAAGGGGCAGTAAGGAAAACTTTTCAAGATCAAACATTGATTTTGCTCCCACTATTGATTAGCAATTCAAATTCTTTAAACAAAAATCCTTGAATAATAATCTATAAGTGTATGGCCAGCTTTAGGCCCCATGCACAGTAGCTTAAAAAAAAAAAAAAAAAAACACTAGTACTCTGAGAAAAATAAAAATGCTAATTTTGAGCTTTTTTTTTTTCCTGCCAGAAAAACAAACTCTCAAAAATAAAAAAACAAATGTTTTTATTCTGCCTGTGAACGCCAAGCTTAAACACCTCTAGAGTACCTAATGTGCATGGATACACAGGATACTGACAAATTCCGTGTGCGTGTGTGCTTTCTATAGAGTGCGAAAGGGCTCTTCGTGTGGAGTGCTACAATGCACCTCCCTCTACAAATTCCTATGGTATATACTTCTTTCTATACATGTGAATGGTGTGAAATAAGTGCTGTAGACCTCTGACTAAAGAATGCCTCTAAATAGCACATACAAAGAATATACATAAACGTTAGGATGGGAACTATAATGCACCTCCCCCTTTTTTATGAATACACTTTGGTGAATAAATACCTATAAGTGCATGCATCCAGTTTGGGGCTATACACCACATAACCCCCAAATTAGATGCAACCTCATGCACTGGGGAGCTTATGTATGAATATCACAATAGTAACAAATACATGTGAATAATCCGATTACTACAGAGCACCATGCTCCTCCATAAAAATTTCACAAGTTAAAAAAAAAAAAGTGGTCTTTTCATCAACCCAAATAGCAGATCAAACAATACAAGTGGATGTAGTCTAGGTATTGCAAAGCTCCTAACTCATCCAGAAAATCAAAGTGACACTGGGTGGTCTTGTCAACAAACCATTGGTGATACGTGTTTCACTTGTGCTCCCCTCCAGATGTATAGGATAACACTAAAAAACTAGCCCTACATTGGTACCTTACCCCATTCAGAATATCCAAATTTACGAAGTTCGCCTCCTCTGCGTGCTGGAGAGGCTGTGGTAGTGTGGGTCATCTTATACATATGTTCTGGTCATGTAAAAATCTGACTAGTTTTTGGCGTTCTGTTTTTCGATTTATCTCTAACTTAACTGGTCTTATTACACCACCTAAACCTGGTCTTGCAATTCTAAACCTGGGGATTGATAAATTCCCTAAATTCTGCCGTACAGTAGCAATCCACATTTTATTAGCAGCTAGAATGGGCATAGTAAGAAACTGGAAATCCAATAGTTCACCAAACCTCTCAGATGTCTTCGAGATCATACGTATACATTACCTTTGTGAATCCTAATAAATGAGGTATTAGACCGCTCTTTGAACGCCAATGGAAGATTTGATATGAATACTCTCCATATATGTAGCAATTGTGATCCTAAATAGTCTGTTTATAATACAAACCCCTAAAACCAGACACAGAAGCTCCTCATACTCATTGTCAGACCTACTGTATAATTGTTTAATAAATAGTTTTCTTTTTTTTGTTCTGTTTGAATTATTTAAATTGTTAGATTCCTCCCCTGTTCCATATGCAAAGTATTGTGCCTAAAAGATGAGAAATAATTTCCAGTATATATACACCGCCATTTGTAGAAACTATAACTTTCACATAAACCAATTAATTTACATGTATTGGGATATTTATTTTTTTTTTTTTTGTTAGCAAAGACATGTAGCAGAATAGATTTTGGCCTAAATTTATGATGAAATTTGATTTTTTTACTGGAAATGTTTTATAGCAAAAAGTCAAAAATATTTTTTCCCCAAAAATTTTCAGTTGTTTATAGCGCAAAAAATAAAAACCGCACAGCTGATCAAATACTTTTGAATAGTGATGACAAATAATGGGGGAAGCAATATCAACTCCACCTCACAAAATGAAGTCTTTATTAGGGAGCCCTTGTCGAACCAATGTAACACAATATAATGGAGCAGTCAAGCGACATCTGTAGTGTGCACACACTAAACAAAACACTCAGTATCACTACATACCTGACACACCAAAGAGTTTATTGTATTTATACTGGTTTTAAATGTATTTTAAAAAAATTTACAAAATTATTAACCTGTGTCCACTGGCTTTTGTCTTGTGCTGACGACATCGGTTTTAGATGCTTTGGAGGGCAGATGCACCTGTCAATGGATTCTGCATAATCTCCAGTTTTGCATCCCACAGATTTGAATAGATTTGCACAATCCACATGTAGAAAACAGGCCCTATAGGTAGACACCACTTCATACGCCAACACAGCAAGTTCTAGATTTCCCAGAAATAACACTATGCACATTCAGGTTTCTTTAAAATGTATTTTATTTTTAAAAAAGGCCACCATTCACACAGTTAAATTGCAATTACATGCTGTTAAAGGAGATGTCCACTCAATAGAACATGGTTTTCAATTATAGAAGTCGCCTAACACAAGTACATAGATAAGTATTGATAAAAGTTATTTGCAGTGCAGCTTCATGGTTCCTTTATCAAGCACAGGCTGCCCAAATGCACAGGGCAATTCAGCAGTGCCAGGAAATAGGTAACAGTAACAGGCGAGAGAAGTCCTGTCAGCCCCCCAAAGGATGACAACTCATTAAACAGGCCAGCAGGAAAAATACCTTTACATCTGCATAGTACCTGCACATAGCTCATTTTAGACTGTTGCTGACAATTGCCAACCCAAACACATCACTGCCACCTTTCCTGCTCCATAGTTATCTGCTTACATTTTGTGTGGGATGGAGAATCCTATGGTTTAGTTTTCTGCACTGGACTGCATGTGTACAAAAGCATCATTGACAAGTCCACATAAGTAGTGTCAAAACAGATCCCCGAACCAAGTTTACCATTGAAAAGTGGTGCAAGACCAAATCTTTTTCAGAATGTAAGCATAATAAGCATCCCAATGGCCAACTGAAGTTGCACACATGGCAGGCAGAGAGAACAGCTGCTGTTTTGAGAGGTACTTGCTTAGCACAGTTAGCCTTCAATGAGGAAGTGCCGTTACTGGCTGGATTTACAGGCGAGAAACTTCTCAATGGATTCACAAAAAAAATCAATTTGCTGAAAAAAAAAAAACAAAACCCACTGTATACAGTGAAGCATGAGGCAAAACATGTGGACTAGTAGGATTGGTGTTCACATACACGTAGACGTCAGGAGACAGTGAACTCCATTCAGAAGGCCAACACAATAGGACGAGGGCTCATTCACACTTGTGCCTTGTGGGATGATCAGCTATGCCACCACTCATTTGAAGGCTTGAAAGTTCAGTTGAGAGCGGCCATAAGCATGCTGGCAACCTTGACAATTATCAGAGACATGAAATGTAACTCTTCTGGGAAACAAAGCAGAATTAAAGCCACTGATTTAACTGTTTCCCATAATCGTTACTTTCAAGGTATGCCATGGAACGATAACCGTTACATTTGCTTGTGCTCCCAACCGAACTGTCAAGCCATCAAATGGCTGGCTTCATAACTGATCACATGTACAGCACCATGGTAACTGCAGATCAAACAAAATCCAGGATGGCAGCTTCCTTGGCTTTAAAGGATAGGAAAGTTTAGTTTTGATTAAAATTGGTGGGTTTGGTTCCGCTTTAAAGCAGAACTAAACTCTCCTATCCTTTACAGCTAAGGAAGCTGCCATCTTAGTCTCTGTTTGATCAACAGTTGCCAAGTATTTAAAAAAAAAAGTGAGCCAAGTTCAATAAGATTTGAAATTACAACAGTCAAGCCCAGAGTAAGCAAGCTAAAAGCAGCAAATGTAACCATTTAATAGAAATGACTGAATATTCAGATTCTTATATAAGCCCAGGATCCAGGTGGTTAGAAAACAGCATCTTCCCCCTATGGCCACTGGATAAAAAAAAAAAAAAAAAAAAAAAAAAAAAAAAAAAAAAAAAGGAGGCAGCTTATCTGAAATACACAAGTCAAATTTTCAAATACTGAAGAAAGTTTATTAAAAAAAAAAAAAAAAAAAAAAGTTAAAATAGTTTGAGTAGACAGGTCCTTTAAATAATCTGTCGACCAGATATGTTCTCCTCTTAAATCAAGTGTGCACATTTCTTTCAATTTGATTACATTTTAAAACAAAGCAAGAATTCATACCGCATTTGGGTTCTCAGGAACTGAAAAGCATAATATGACAGTTAATACTTGGGATTCATTACATACCATGTTCACAAAAAGGTACCTTCCACTTTTGGTACAGCCATGTTTGTTTATATTTATTAGGGGAGGTAAAAGACGTGACCAGATTAATCTCCTCTCTTTCATTTTCTTCCCGCCATGATTCTGAGATATTGTAAAGCATTATGGGCAGCATCATTGTGAGCGTTGCCACAAGAAAGACCTGTTCCATGGCATACAGTGACTGGACTGGTGGAGAGCTCTGCAAGACACTGGAACTGTCCATTGACACTAAGTTCCTCTGGAGAAAAAAAAAAAAAAAAAAAAGTTACCATTACATTTACCAGGTATATAAAGGACTGTAGTGGGGAAATGGCTTTATTGGGAAGTAGTATACTAAAGATCAATTTTCATAGTAAATATACTAGAACACATATGGCTACCCATTTAGTAAACAAACTGCATATTACAGTCAAAATACATACATGCCAGCAGTTTTATCAGCTGAAGGATATGAACGTTTGTCCAATCTTCAGTTTTGAGCTGACTTCCAATGATTCTCTCAATGAGCTACTGACAGCAGCTCAAACCATAGGAATACAGAAAGGATCACCAAACTTAAGATGGATGACAGAGTCTAATACAGATTTGTGAGATCAATGTTTCTCTGAGTTAACCCAAGAATTATCCTGTGTTGAGCCCTGGTGAATGAATGGTGCTACTCCCAAAATGCATTTGCTGGTTTTATAGGACTTATTCACAAGATTAAAATGATCTTGGATTCATTTGTTTTTGGTTTGGAACTCCTTTTTGTCTTCCTATGGTCCCAGCTTATGAAAGGACAATAGAATAGAAGAGAAGTAGAGGGACAAGCTCATCTCTCCTCTAGGCAGCATGTTACTCATCTGCATACGAGTACGCAACAGAACCCGATTTGTTCCTCTTACTATATCTCTTGATCCAAGTTAAGGGGAGTTACTAAGGTCAGAGATAAAGTCAAATTTGCCTACAGTAGATAAATAAATTGGGAAAAGGATTTTTGTTCTAGTCATAACATTTTCTTGGGAAGTCCATTAAGGGACACAGATGTCACATATTGTAGTTATACTGCCACAGGAGAATCAGACACTGGCAAACAAAATAACCTGTACGATAGCTCAGCGTAACTACTTTTCTACCTAGCATGCTCAGTTTGTAGAAAGCAGCAAGATCATAAAAAACAGAGGGGTACCTCAATGGACTCGAAGGTAAGACAGTAAGGGAGTACAAAAATCCTATTTTTCTTTTTTCGTCCCATTGAGGGTGCAGGAATTATATAAAAATTGGGACTTCCAAAAGCACTCCAGCTGAGGGGTGGACATAAAACAAGAAGCCCAGAAAAAGCCCTGAGTTGCAGAGTCAAATAGGCTCGAAATGCTCCAGACTCCTCAGATCCAATGAAACTGTAGGATCTGAGGCATGAAGGAGAGCAGTCTTATCAGGACAAGTGAATATAGAACAGGGAGTAGTGCCAGAAAGGCCCCATTCTTGTATTTACAGATCAGACAATGGGGAAGGACCTACCCCAGGTTGAACAAGTCGGATTAAATTTCTCAAGGCATCACCTGTCCCTGATGGATAACTGCAGCAGGAGACTAGTTTGTTCTGCCCGCAGGCAGCCCAGGGAAACTTAGGTTCTCCTCTGACATTCTTCCCCTGCAAAGCAGACTCTTGAGTCACACCTAGGTTTGAGAACTAACAGATCCAGAGAATATGAACCACTAGTTGAAAAAATTACCTCTCAAAAAGGGGATAGTTCCAGCACTCTTAAAATGGGACCAGGGTGTGTGTAGTGAAAAGACCTCTGCAGTTATAATTATACAGGATTTAGATAGAACCAACAGTGTGCACAGCGCTTTACAACATGAAGGTAGACATTACAGTTACAATACAATACAGTCTAAGGAAAGCAGTTAAAGAGGTTCTAAAAGACCAAGGTTGGAGACAAACAGGGTACTGAGACTGCATCAATAAGCCGAAATGATCTCTTGTAAACTGTGACAGGAGACTGGAGCCTCATCACAGGCACTGGAGGATTCAAAGTCAAAAGTTGTTCTAAGGCCTCAGAAAGAGCAGAGATGGATCTGCAGGGGGATGCATGGGAGCATGCTTACACTCTCTGCAGTTATTATTCACAAAGGATATTGTAGAAGGGGGCTTATCCTTGGCTGGCTTACAGATTTCTTGTCCTGTCAGGTGTCCTATCCTACTGAAAGAGGCAGTATACCTTGATAGTATGGTTCATGTGTGCCTCAATGGGTGAAAGAAATAGTTTATCATTTTTAAAAAGAATACATAACTGCAATGAATTGGGTTTTTAATCCTGTCTGGAGTTCAGTTTTAAAGAGCAGCTCCACCCAAAGGGGAAGTTCCGCTTTAAGGACTGGTCCCCTGCTCCTCTAAGGATTGGTACCTGTGGGGAGAGCAGATACCTGAAATCAACAGGTACCTGCTACCACTTCAGCTACGATCGCCTAAGCGATCGGAAGTAAAAGTTGTCCTCTCCCTTCCCTCCCCGCAGTCTTCTGGAACACGTGACAGGTCCCGGAGGACTGCGGGACCATTCAGAAAGTGCAGCACTTCTTGCGTATGCACAGTGGGCACCGACCGCGAAGCCACAAGCCGTCACAGCTGGGTGCCCACACTGAAGATGCTGGCACTGGGAACACAGGACAGTCGGTGAAACAAGCTGCGGGGAGGACAATGCGGGGTCGCAGGACAGGTGAGTGGCTGTTTTTGTAGCTGCTGACTGATTTTTTTTAAAGTGTGACTGGAACTACGCTGTAAAGACATTAAACACCCTAATTAAATGAATGCTTTTTCATGGACACCGAGCTCTGTAACCTTAACATATGCCTAGACAAATTTTCTTTAACCACCTTCAAAATTAGCAGCAGCAGTGACCATTTACTGGAAAACCTTTGTTCACATCTATCAGAGTTTAAAGCCCAATTAAGCCACAGAAATAAATATTTGGTTAGACAAATGTTCACCTAGTAATAAGCTCCATTTTCATAGTCTTCCATAACATTTACTTTCATGTTATCGCACTTGTGCAATGGGTGTAAACATTACTGAACGGTCTAATTGGTAGTGCTCAGTGCACCCCAGTCTAACAGACCTCCATTCTTAGGAGTCACTAGTGTGAGAACGCTTGTGATAAGAGCTGCGTCTATTATGCAGTTATACTAGTATAGAGTACTCTGAGGGCAAAACGTGGATTTCCACTAGCAGAAAAAGGTAAAAATTGTATATTCGTACAAGACTAAAGAGAAAACAAGACTCAGGGCTTAAAGTGGATCATTGCGTAAATCAACATTGGCTATTTTGAATCCCTATGCTGCTAGCATTAGTAAATAGATAGGAAAGTATTTCATATTTACTTGTTTTTAAAAAACGGTTTACATTTTTTAGCCACTTCCTAATTTCCATGCCTGGACAAATGTCATACATCCCAGGAGTCTTCAGGTGGGGAGGAAGGGTTTTCTCCGCTAAGCACATGTAAGCTAAGCACTGTATGCCTGAGCTAAGGGCAGATGGATTGCAGGAAGTAATTGCTACAAGAATCATCTGCTCTTACTCAAGATGGCCACGGCCAAAAATGTTAGGGGGTGCTTATCTAAGTGATTTCCCAGCACAATCCATGAGACATGGATGGATGGGCAAGTTTGCTTTGAATATTAAAAATGAATTAAATAGTGCTTTTGGTTTGTGGTGCTCAGATGCAGTGTAGCTCCACTTTAGGAAAGCATGCCCTGGATGCACAGGAGTGCAACCAAACAACTGTATCCTTCTGTCCACTGGAGAGCAAACAGTTGAGCTGTTTAACAAGATTCCCTTCATTAGGCTGCCATTCATATAAACTTTTGTCCATATCAGAGGTGAACAACAATTCTCTTGCATTCACAACTCGTGTCAGAACAGATAAAAAATAGGCAGTTTTTAAGCTTGTGTAACTGGACAGGCACAGACATTAAAGCTGAAAAGAAAGCTGTCGAGGGTGAATCTCTAATTACAATCATATAAAGTGCACTCTAGCAACATTGGTGATCTAGTGTAAAAACTAGAACACAAAAAAAAAGCCAAATTTTGGTTTTTTTTTTTTTGCAAAGTATATTGACGTCATTGACTTCCGTAATTCCACAGGACATGTTGGAAGCTTTCTTCTGCCTGAGAGATGCTTAGTGAGCAAGAATCAAAAGACTAAGCAACTCTCAGGCAAAAAGGAACAAAAGGAACCTGCTGATGTCAGACACCTTTACAGCAAGCAGGAAAAAAAACAAAACAAAGAACTAGGGGAAAGCATCCACAACTAAAGATAGTTAGAGCTTGAGGGTGCTTTTATGGGATACCACCACCACTACAGACCTCTATCAACTTCCTGAGGTAAGAATTACAGAACCTCTCCCTCTCGTTTTACCTTCAGAGTTCTTTCAGATGCCCTAATCACGTCAAGGATTCCATCAGCAAGATCTCCAGTCCAAAGTTATACATTCTGCCAATATCAGAGTTACCAACCTACTCCTAAAAATTGCAGTATAATTTTAAAATGGAGACAAGCCCTATTTGCAAATGTTGTAGCAGGCAGCCAGGTGAAACGTCAATTTCAGTGTGTTGTTTTTGAGTCTTTAACTGATTGAATATTTTATGTTCTCATCTGTGAACTAAAGTGGAGGCATTAAAGCGGAGCTCCACCCAAAAGGGGAAGTTCCACTTTAAGCCTTTGTCCCCGCTCCCCATTAAGGAGTGACAGGTCCCAGAAGACTACAGGCCATTCACAAAGCGCAGCGCTTCTCATGCATGTGCAGTGGGCACCTGGCTGTGAAGCCGCAAGCGGTCACAGCCGGGTGCCCACACTGAAGATGCCGATGCCAGGGAGAGAAGACGGCCGGTGAAACCAGCGGCGGTGAAGACACCGCTGGACCCCGGGACAGGTAAGTGGCTGTATTTTAAAAGTCAGCAGCTACAGTTTTTAGTAGCTGCTGACTTTTTTTTTTTCCCCCAGGTGAAACTCCATTTTAATGTCCGGTGAATTTTTACTTGCAGCAGCACATAGGGAAATTGAACATCACAGGCCATTTAAACATTGGCATGTAGTCCACTATGTTTACTTCAAAATGTTAAGCTTTTGCTAAAAGATACAAGATACATTTTACTGGGTTTGTAAACTGGAAAATCCTCTGTACACCTCCAAAACTTTGATACCAAAGGCCTTACTTCTCAGACTTTACAGCCAAGCCCTGCTATCTACTATCCTACCTCAATGGCCAATAGAGGGCCCTGTCACTGAACTGGGGAAAGGCAGTTGATAGATATTAGTCTTGAAATCCAGGGTCCCTAGTAACAAAAACTAGTTGCAAAAAGGCACACTGAAGACTGTTTTCAGACCAGCAAAGGTAATCAGCAGGACCTCATATTTAAATATTTGACAGGTTCATTCAAAGCAATAATAAGCTGTTGAAGAAGGGGAACACTACATAGACCAAGCTGCTAGAACGTAATTTAGTCTGGGAATCTAAAGCTATAATGTATTCCAGAATACATAACAAAACTGCCTGCAACCAAAAATAGTGATTTAGAACATGAACGGTAAACATTGACATGTCAAATATTCACAAGCAAATGGCTTACATGTAGATGTATCTTTGGAACTTGGCACTAAACCAAATGGTGCGTTCATTAAGAAAATGAGATGTTCATACACCATGTATAAAACACTTACCAATATCCAAGTAGGACACACGGATGTCTTGCTCTTCTGCCACCTCTGTCAACATCTTCACATAATCTGTGTTAGGAATACTTAGTGGGCTTCTTTTCAGCATGTTTATTTTTTCTCCAGGTGAATTCTTCAGCTTGTCCCAGGTACAACCAGTGTTATTTACAATCCCCTTTTTCTGTAATGATCAAAATATTCAACAATTTTTTTACACTCCAGTCTTTGCTTACAAGGTGCTCATCACAGAACCCATACCCAATTTTCCAAAGCTAGAAAATAAAAGCGGACAACCAGAATGCTTTGCAAAACCTCTTCATATGTGAGACCTATGTTGGTTCCTGTTTAAAAAGAACACTTAAATTATTTATTAAAAGGCACTTTAAAAAAATTAATAAATTAATTAAAAAACAAACATGTTATACTTACTTGGTCTGTGCAATGGTTTTTCACAGAGCAGCCTCAATCCTCCTCAGGTCCCTTGCTGGAGCTCCTGGACCCTTTCTCCTGCCATGTGGCCCCAGAGCAAGCAGCTTGCTATGGGGGCACCCAAGCAGGCTCACTCCCAAGCCGCTGCGCTGCGTGTCCATTCACACAAAGCTACGGCTCGGCCCTATCCCATCTCTTCCCTCATTGGCTCACTGGCAGTGAATGAAAGCAAAGTCTCCCACTGCGGTCTCAGCCAATGAGGAGGGAGAGTCCCCGGAGAGCCTATAGCCTTATGTTGTTACACTTAAGCATGTTCAAGCATATGTACAAAGGTTTTTGTACTTTTTAAATATTATGGTCCAGGCTTAAAAATTGCCAATTTAAAATTCTTAGGTAGATATGAAAATACTGCACATCATTCAGTCTATCTAGTAGATGGCATTCTTTGCTCATTTTCATATGTAAAGCATGATAATTTCAGCTGTACTGAAAGAAGTCTTTTAGTCCAAACTAAATCTAGGTCCCTGGAAGTATTACTATAATGTGTAAGTATGCCGGTAGTGTGCCCTTCAATGTAGGTAGGTCCCCTTGACACTCCGTCTATCAATATCTTTCCCTAGGTCTATTATTGGGCCTTGCCACCTGGCTTAATTCTCTGTATTTTACAGGTGCAGGAATAGACCGAGTATATATGCTAAAAAACTGTCTCTTCCACAAAAAAAGGAGGACTGTACCTGATTATCTTTTATTTTTAACTTCAGTTAGGCTTGAGTCATCAGAGCACAGAGCAGTGACTCAACCTTTATCAGAAAGCTCAGTAATAGGTTCTCTTCAATCTAAGCCTCAAAGCAATCTTAGCTGTGTGGGCTCTAACTGCATAAAATACCCTGCATTTCCTAGCATGGTGATATTTTACATGCTAGCACGACTACTACAGAGCTGGATTTACCATTAATGGACAATACACCCAGACAGCAAAGTGATTTGGCCTTGGGAACGAGTGGTCAAAGTATTGTATAATGAAGACAAGACTACCCAACTAATTATTAGCTGCTAGATATATATGCCCTCCCCCAATCCAAACAGAAATTAAATATTTCCACTAACTACCAATGAAGGATTCACTGCTGCATTATTTTGGCAACAGAATTATCTTTGAGTGGCAAATACCCTAGGTACTCCACGTTATTCTTTTTATTTAAAATAAACATTCTTCAAACTAATGATCATACTGAAGTAACGAGCTGTAAGTATAATACTTTTTAGCGGGGTTCCTTGAGCATGAAAACTTCAATGGCCCTCAGGGGTAAAAAGGTTAAAAAAAAAAAAAAAAAAAAAAAAAAAAAGGTGTGTACACTATAACCAATTCCACAATGTATCCAACATACAGCAAGTTAGATTTTATCACAACAATGCATGCAAGTATAAAAGGTTCTCTGATGCCATTGTTTTTTTTTTGTTAGTTTGCATTGTAGAATGCAGAGTAAGGCTACGTTCACACTAGCGTTGTGTGCAGGCGGCAGAGAGGCGTTTGGTAAGCGTTTTTACCGCTTCCCAAACGCCTCTGCCAATTCTGCACATTACAGCACATGGTGCTGTCCTAACGGGAGCGTTTGCGTCGCGTTGCGTCAAAACGGACGCCTCTGGAAGAGTCAGGAGGCTTTGAAGCCTCCTATTCTTGTCCATGGTGCTGCTCCGCAAACGCCCCGGCCGGCGTTTGCGGTGCGGTTGCGACGCGGTTGCGGGGCGTTTGCGGAGCGGTAACACCACTCAAACTGCATTATAGGCGTTTGTGGGGCGTTATTAACGCTTAGCAAACGCCTAGCATCCTCCGCTAAACCGCGCATGCGGCGTTTGCGGAACGTTAATAACGCTCCGCAAACGCCGGACCAACGCTTGCCAAACGCTATAGGGGCGTTTGGCAAGCGTTGGCAAAACAGCCTAGTGTGAACGAGCCCTAAAGCTATCTAAAAATGAGCCCCACAGCTTAGGGATACAACTTGAAGGATACCCTTTATCTAAAAATTATGTTCATTGCTGGCAGATGCAAACTTAAAGTGTTACTAAACCCAGGACCCTGCATTCACTATGTCTGGTCTCCCACAGTACACAGAACATGAAAATGCAATTATTTTAGCAAATAAAAACTGCTAAATACATTTTCTCACCAGTAGTTAGAGCAGTCTTGTGACTTCTATCAGTGTCCATCAGAGTACTGGTTAAAGCTGGTAAGGGGAGTTTTCATTCTCCTCTGGTTATACTATGAGGCTGCATAACCCCTGACCCTCTGTCTGGACAGTGCTGATCACATGCACTCCCAAGAAAAACACCCTAGTGATACACACCAAACTGGGCATGTGCAGCTTGCTCCCAAGGCTTTGTTCTATCAGCAGATGGATTGGGGACAATGGAAGAAGGGGAGGCTCCGAGAACACAGGTTCAAACATCCATATACACAATGCGGAGGAATAACCACTTAGGTTCCACAGGGAGTATAACATGTATACTTCTACTGCATACACAGACTGATTTTACTGTTGTAGGTTTAATAACACTTTTGGTTAGGGAATTACTTCATGTCAATACTTGTTCAGACAATATCTGAAGTACCTTTCAGAAGGACAGTCAGCTACCATTTTTGAAGCAATTAATGGAAGCGGTCATTGATAATCTGCAATGATAGGTTTCCTTTAGTGATCTCCTAGTTGGATTCCTCATCGAGCACAAGTCTTTCGAGAAGTTAGGGCCAATTCATTTCATTATGCATGGCTGATCTGATCTATTTTCACTCAAAGTGACACTAAAGTCTTGTTTTAAACAAAAATTCTATATATGTATGTATGTATTACTAACTCAAAAATACCTAATTTGCTCTGAGCAAGAGATTTGTTTTTTTGCTGCTGTGATCTTATCTTGTTAGAGGGTTGCTGCGTTCGTTTTCCAGTGCCAATGTATGTAGGTACATAGCCACCCTCACTTGCTTGCTCCCAAGATGGACAAAGTATAGACTATGTCCAGGAATCTGCAGTACACAAAGCACTGCACAGAGCAACCACAACTAAAGAGCACTGCTCATTTAAACATACAGAAGGATGAGGGGGACAGATTCTGTAGCTCATGGGAGGACGTTACAAGGAGGCTGGAGGTTTAGTGCCACTTTAAATCTGAAACTTGAATTGATTTGTATGAAATATAATGGAAGCAAAGGGATTTCTCTTATGGCAGAACATACACAAATATCCAATAGCCAATATCCAAGTTTGTTGAGAGGCCTCTGCCATGAACCACTCCAACTCACAGTGAGTTGTGGAACTTTGCATTAATATGTGCTGAAGCAGCTCTCCAGCAAAAGTTCATGTCTGAAGACCTGGCACTTTTATATATTAGGACAGAAAGGTTCCCTGGTCAATGTATACCAACTGTTTCCTTTTGATTTTTTTTTTTTCTTTCGAATGTACAGGATATTTCAGCTTACCATATATTGTCACACCTACCAATGAGATATTGAGATTATCAGTGGGAATGCTTCGCAGTTTAGCCAATAACTTCTCTGCTGCTATCCTCTTAGCCACTTTCTTTGATGTGCCTGAACCTGCAAAGAAAAGAATAAATCAAATGTATTTAATGGTGGCACTGCATGCCAACTGCATCAATGGCAACCCTTTCCCTGAGATCAGAGTCCAGAGACCATCACATAAAATATTTAAATATATTCGTGCTACCAGGTTACTAATCCGTAGCATAATGTATCTACAAATTAATGACATACCGAAATAAATTTTGGGAACACCAAAAGCTAACGGTCATACATATGAAAACACAAACATTACATTAAACAATCTTCCTCACGTCACCCTGTACTAAAGTGGTTGTAAATCCTTGAATATATACCCAATGAAGTGGCAAGCCTCAGGTGACACACAGAGGTTGATTTACTCAAGGCAATGACTGTGCACTTTGCAAATGCAGTTTGCTCCAGAGCTTAGAAAATGAGGTGAAGCTCTGCTAACTTCTGTCATCCAATCGTGCAAACAAAAATGTTGTTTTTTTTTTTTTTTTTATTTCTTTGCATGTGATTGGGTATTCTTTGCAAAATGAAGATTTATCTAATTTACAAAGCTCTGGAGCAACTGCACTTGAAAACTGCACAGTCTATTTGCCTTTAGTAAATCAGCTACACAGAGATGAAACAAACCTCCCATACATAGGTTGAGTCCGTTTATCTGCAGTCCTCTCTTCAATGGAACCTTTTTTTTAAAAAACACAGATGAAAGGCTATTTCACATCTTGAATTTGATCTCAAACACTGCATAGCACAGAAACAGCGGAGTGTAATTTGAGACCTGAGTGGAAGGAAAGAGCACCCATCCACCCCCATACACAGTCTTATAGGGAAACCAACACAGTTAAGGCTGTCAATCAGCTTCTGCGAGCTGGAAAGGGAGGGATGGGGCATTTCCTGAGATTCTATGTTTCCAGGATAACCTGTCAGAAGTGAATAATGCAGATAGCAGAAGGAAGATAAAGACAGAAATCACACTCTTCTCTGGATTGAGGTTAGTACACACTAGAGTGATACTGCTCTGTTCATTCTTGATTTCAAAGGGTTACAACCACTTTAATTGTGCTGTCTCAATTGCATGTTGAAGAGAATATTAGATGCTTTTCGTACAATGAAAAAGGTTTATTGCATTAGGAGACCTCAACAGCTTCTCATTTTAGAACCTTCTTCTACTTCCATACTGGGCAATCTTTCAGGTTTTAGCAAATCTATGAAAACTACAGAGAACCTATTGTCAAAGAACCTTTAAGGATAATGAAACCAGGACAAACAGTACATAAGTGTTTGAGCACTTTTTAATAGAATCAAAGTGCTGAACCAGTCCTCTTGTGCCATCCTATTGGTTCATCTCTCATATGGATGGTTTTAATGCTCAACGGACAAGTATAAAATTGCTGCAATTGCCTTTAGAGTAATCTGGGATTCAGTGCTTCATAGGGCCTGGAAGGGTCATTGATCACGTAAAGCTATATGAAGAGACCACTAGGTAACCAAAATGCTTGAGTTTAGTGATCTTATATGACTCCTATAACAGAGGGCCATCACTTGCACTAGAACATGAAAGATTTCTGCATGGTATTAGTTACTGAACACCAATGACAAAGGTGTAAAAAGACTTCACTTACAACAAACTATATTGCACAATTTCACCAGTAAATCTGCAGTGATCTAATGAAGAATAAATCCCCCAATGTCAATATTTTACATGTATAGCTATACAAATGTGATAACGGTACAAGTCCAAATTCAGTCCAGTTAACTTACCAGTTTCTACAAAAGTTTCCACTCTACAGGACAAGGTGAACTCCCTCTTATGAGCCGGTCCTGCTTCCTGCGATACAAAATACTCAGGCAGTCTCCATCCTTTTTGTACAGAAAGCTCCTATAGAAAGATGGATTTTATTTTAAAAACAAATTCAGTATACAAGGACTTTCATCACACAGACAAATTTATTCACAGAACATTAAGGGCCTGTTCTTAGCAGCGAGCGGTGCCATGCCGACCACTGTTGTGGTCTTTGGTTTTTTTTTTTCCCACAGCACTTTATTGAAATGTCACCAGTGACATTTTGATAGGAGTTGTATTCACCGCGGCAGTATTTGACTGGTTCATGATGAAACCTGCTGTTCTGTAAAAAAAAAAAAAAAAATTCTGTACAACCCACAGGAATGCTGTCACGTGAACTGACAATATAGGAAGCAAGGCATTTTGCCCTGTCTATGCACTGGGGCTGCAATGCAAATAGCTACCAGAGCAGCCCTGCTGCATCTGGTGTGAACAGACTCAAAAATAATATTTTGGCAACCTATGGCAAAACAAAAACACATGTAGAAGTGCAGGGACGTTAAGGTGCAGATGTGTAACTAATTGTACTAGACAGCCATCCACAGAACCTTAGAACTTTTCTGAAGAACTAATCATTGACAAACCTTCTCCCTCAATCCACACGTCAATGGAGCCTAGATTCTAAAGCTTCAGGACTTTATAGAGATACAGTGTGCAGGTGTGCTCTGGAGGGCCTGCTAGCAAACAGAGAGCAGTACTGGTATGCATATAGTACAGGTTCATAAAAATGGTATGTTAAGAAAAACAATACCTGAAGTGAACCAATAGGATTTTCTTGAGCTTGAGTAGCAGTTTGCTTGGATACATCACGTGTAATGGGTTCTGTCATAGGCAAGCTAATTGACAAACATGCAAAAGTGAAAATCAAGATATTAAAAAAAAAAAAAAATAATAATGTATATTATATATATTGAAAAAGGCACTGGTTCTGGAGGTTAGTAAACATCTTCACATTTGTTTTACCAGTTTTCTGTCTCACTCTCACAGATGACTGAACTAGACCCTCCTTTCCTAGACATTCCTTTATCACTCATCTAAATCACTTTTGCATAACCCTCTCTTGAGGCCAGTGCCCTCTGGTAAACAAAAAACACAAAGCTTACTTGAAGCTTGAATAAAGTGTCATTTCATCGTGCCATTCTCTCCTTGAGGCTATATATCCCCTTTGGAAATGTGTGCTCCAAATTGGCACTCAGACCAGACCCAACAGACAGTGGTAATAGCAAAGTGCATTTTGAGGGACCTTACAGAGGTTGAGGGTTTTGCTTGTGATTCACCTGCTACAATGTGTTACCCTTACCCTATCTTGAGCTTAGGTCATACGGGTTATTTTCGATAGGGAAAAAGGTTGCAGGTATACCCCACGTCATATAACAGAAGTCTTTGGGGATCACATTCCTTGTCACATAAGCATTAGAAGCACAAGAAACTTCCAAAAACACTGCATACAGAAATAAAACTGCTTCAGGCAATGTTTTGCATATATTTAGACTAACAATGCTATTTAGTACCTTACTGACTTCTTCACAAAAGTGGGTCCATAAGATCAGAGAGCTAGAACAGACTGTTTTACAAGCGATAAAGAATTTTTATTTTGTTAGACAAACTTGCAAATATGTACGTTATATCATATCTCACTTTAGAGTGGCATCTCCTCTTAATATGTTCAAAGCGGATTCTGCAGCTTTATGTTTTGCAATCTTCTTGCTAGGGCCATCCCCTGTAATATACAAAGGATGAAAAAAATATTACGTTCAAGTATCAATAGTAAATGTATAGCCTCTATAGCACTAAAGTTGCAGCACTATCAAAAGCCCTCGAATAGCACTCCTGGTTCTCTAGGGCTATCCAAACCTAAATATCTTGCCGTAGCAAATACCATTCTGTAACCCACCATTGCAAATCCAAGTACAAAGTGAAACTTCATCACTGCTCCCACCACCAACAGCACAATGCTGCAGAAAGCAGTGCGGACATTGTTATATCAATGCCACTCTCTCACTGAGACTCCATTCACATCTAGGCGTTTTTGTATCGAAGGCAGAACTGCCGAGATTCTGGCAGTGATGCCAAAAAGTTCTGCAAAACTGACAAGTCAAACCACGCTTGTTCAGGTGCCAATCACTTTTAATGGCACCTAAATGGCTGTGCGATTCTGGCACAATAAATCGTGCTTCAATGGCTCAAACAGCTCCTGCTCCTTTTTGGGTGACAAGGTTTTATCACGTAACAATCACAGCAGAATCGCACAGCGTTTTAGGTACCATTGTAAATGAATGAACAACTGTGGTACCGACTCATCAGGTCTGAAAAGTGATTTGGGATCGTGGGATTCTGTCTGCAATGCACAATGCCTACGTATGAACGGAGCCTGAGGGTCAACCAATGCTGGAGAAGAGGGCAAGAGGACCCTGCACATCATGCAACTGGCCTGAAGATTTTGGAAAGGGCAGAAAGAAAAAAAAAAAAAATTATATATATATATATATATATATATATATATATATATATATATATATATATTTTTTTTTTTTATTAAAATTGCACTATAAAAACACAGGTATAACAAAAAGAAGAGCATATACAGATTCAACACACGCTACAGTGGGGCAAAAAAGTATTTAGTCAGCCACCAATTGTGCAAGTTCTCCCACTTAAAAAGATGAGAGGCCTCGATCTGGGGCTCCACGCAAGGTCTCACCACGTCGGGTCAAAATGATCACAAGAATGGTGAGCAAAAATCCCAGGACCACACGGTGGGACCTAGTGAATGACCTGCAGAGAGCTGGGACCAACGTAACAAAGGTTACCATCAGTAACACACTACGCCACCAGAGACTCAGATCCTGCAGTGCCAGACGTGTCCCCCTGCTTAAGCCAGTACATGTCCGGGCCCATCTGAAGTTTGCTAGAGAGCATTTGGATGATCCAGAAGAGGATTGGGAGAATGTCATATGGTTAGATGAAACTAAAATAGATCTGTTTGGTAGAAACACAACTCGTCGTGTTTGGAGGAGAGAGAATGCTGAGTTGCATCCAAAGAACATCATACCTACTGTGAAGCATGGGGGTGGCAACATCATGCTTTGGGGCTGTTTCTCCGCAAAGGGACCAGGACGACTGATCCATGTACAGGACAGAATGAATGGGGCCATGTATCATGAGATTTTGAGTGCAAACCTCCTTCCATCAGCAAGGGCATTGAAGGTGAAACGTGGTTGGGTCTTCCAACATGACAATGATCCCAAACATACCGCCCGGGCAACGAAGGAGTGGCTTCGTAAGAACCATTTCAAGGCCCTGGAGTGGCCTAGCCAGTCTCCAGATCTCAACCCCATAGAAAACCTTTGGAGGGAGTTGAAAGTCCATGTTGCCCAGCGACAGCCCCAAAACATCACTGCTCTAGAGGAGATCTGTATGGAGGAATGGGCCAACATACCAGCAACAGTGTGTGCCAACCTTGTGAAGACTTACAGGAAACGTTTGACCTCTGTCATTGCCAACAAAGGATATATAACAAAGTATTGAGATGAACTTTTGATATTGACCAAATACTTATTTTCCACCATAATTTGCAAATAAATTCTTTCCAAATCAGCCAATGTGATTATCTGGATTTTTTTTCTCATTTGGTCTCTCATAGTTGAGGTCTACCTATGATGGCCTCTCATCTTTTTTCATCTCATGGCCTCTCATCTTTTTAAGTGGGAGAACTTGCACAATTGGTGGCTGACTAAATACTTTTTTGCCCCACTGTATATTGTAATATAACATTTTTAAAAAATGATCTTTACTGTTCAATGTGCAGCGCTATAATTTTCTGTAAAACTCAATGCAATATTGCAACCTGGAGGCATTCTGTACACAGATTGAAGTATGAAACGTCCTAACCCCACCCCCCACCCACCCCCGGAAATGCCATTTCCTGCTTGTGTGAATTGGCTTACTGATTTTCCCAGAATTCTGCACTCAGATAAAAATCTGATTTCGGGATTCCTCTGCAACAAAAGTTTCATTTTTGGTTAGATACACCAAATGGTTAACCATGTCTTAAGCAATTCAGATCCTGCCACTTTCCTCATTAGAACTCTACAAGTGCAGCAACTGTATTTTACTTTAATCAAATAACCAATCACTATATGAAGTTTAAAAATAAATAAATAATATCAGTTGACAAAAAGGTTACAGACAATTCATCTATACTAATGTAGACAACTACTTGAGTTTAAAAAATAGCATCAGGAAAAAAAAAAATAATATATATATATCCACATGGGCAGATGCAGCATCAGTTCCCCACTAGCTCTGCAAAGCGAACTGAGTGATCAGATAGCACAGTTCTCCCCTCCACTCCAAGCAGAGAGCGGTAATTGCCAATCACCGGCTCTCTGCTCTGCCCCTGCAGCGCTCACTGGAGCGCCAGACTGAGGAGAGGATGGGAGCGGCTGGCTCAGGCTCTCATCGGCTTGCCAAAAGGCTGAGCCAGCTGTGAGTCCAGGCATCTGGGTGGATCCCAACCATATAGACAGGATCTTTTAGGAGCCTGACACAGAGGACAGTGGGCTTTAGCCCAGCGTCAGCTTAAAAAAAAGGAAAGAAAAAAAGGGGGTCACAGGAGTGCAGAACTATCTGCACTGCTGTGATCTATAGAAGTACAGCCAAAAAAGCTTTGGCTATACTTCTGCTTTAACCAGTGCCAGAATAAGTAGTAGCCAAAGAGGTGCAAGAATCTTGATACACTTGGAATATTTTTCCATCCCGTATCAACTCTCTCATCAGCGGCAGCTGAGACACAGGACACCAAGGCCACTTAAAAGAAATGCAATACAGAAATATACGACTGAACTCTCGATGCCTACCTTCTGCTCAAAGTCATCAAAAAATGGATGCTTCCATTTACATTAAAGCAGCTCCCTCATCACTCATAGAAAGTTTACAATACCTCATTAATGTAAGTACTTGGTAGTTACTGAAGTAGCTTTTTTTGTAGTTAAAGAACATCTAACCCCCCCCCCCCCAAAAAAAAAAAAAAAAAATGTATTACCAGTCCTTTGATGTGGCAGCTCCATTATTTTTCCACTTTTTAGGCCAAGAACATTTTCAGCAAGTACAGAATATATCTGATGAGCTTGCCAGAAATGCAGTGTCCTTGTCACTTCCTGTGAGCTGAAAAGCAAGCAAAAAAAACCTTATCTTTATTGTGTAAACTACTAGTACTATCAATCCATCATGTCATGTAGATAAACCAGAGCCCAGAGGTACAGCCAGTTGACAGCCATGGATTTCCCCATAGATAGATGGAGGAAAAAGCACAAAGTCAAAAGTGTTGTAATTGCAGAAGCACCAGGTGAAAATAAAAATACCTGAAAAAAGAAAATGAACGCAGCTACCACATCTAAGGGCTGGTAAGCTAAAATGCAGTACATTTGTTTTTGGGTCTAGATATGCTTAATTTGCCCCCCTTTCCATGGATGAAGCTGTTTGATATTCAGCAACCCTTGACACTTCAAATGTGTGAAGGCTTTCTGTGCACGAAAGCTGCAGCTGCCTCAATCCTAATGTTTTAAGCCCTGATGTCACAAGCTGCTGGGAAACCCATCTGCAAAGAAAGCATACTCACACAGAACCACTGAGAACACTGGGATGTGTTGTGTTAACAGGTGCATGGATGAGTTTTATAATGTATGGGCCAGAGCCTGATGAAAACTTAAAGCAGAACTTCACCCAAAAGGGGAAGTTTCGTTTGTTTGCATCCTTCCCCCCTCCACTGTCACATTTGGGGTTGAGGGGGAGGGGAAATTGGGTACCTGGTTTTGACAGGAACCTGCTCCCACTTCCATTCACAACGTTTGGCCCCTCCGCAGCCTTCTTGGACACATCACAGGTCCTAGAAGACTGCGGGACCACTTACAAAGCACAGCGTGGCTCACGCATGTGCAGTAGGAAACCGGAAGGCTTCACTCCTAGATCCCCTTACATAAGATGCGGGCGTCTGTACCTGAAGCCAACTGAAGAATCAGCTCGGGTGAGGACATCGTTGGAACCCTGAACAGGTAAGTGTCCTTATCTTAAGTCAGCAGCTACAGTATTTGTAGCTGCTGACTTTTAAAGAGGAGCTCCAGTTTCCCCCCCAAAAATTAAAGTGTTACTAAACCCAGGACCCTGCATTCACTATATCTGGTCTCCCACAGTACACACAACATGAAAATGCAATTCTTCAGTAAATATAAACTGCTAAATACCTTTTCTCATCAGCAGTTAGAGCAGTCTTGTGACTTCAATTAGTGTCCAGCAGAGCACGTTAAAGCTTGTAGCAGGTTTTTATTCTGCTCTAGGAGGATGCAGAACCCCTAACCTCTGTCTGGACAGTGTGGTTTGGCCCTGTGCTGATCACATGCGCCCCCCCAAGAAAAAAAAAACCTCTAGCAATACACACCAAACTGAGCATATGCAGTGTTTCCACACTATATGTCTCTCAGGAGATAAGAGGGGGACTGTGGAAGAAGGGGGGAGAATCAGAGAAGTCAGGATCAAAACAGCCCTTTTACTCAATGCAGAGGATTAACCCCTTAGGTACCACAGTGAGTATAACAAGCATGCTTTACTGTAGTACAGACTGATTTTACTGTTGTGGGTTTAGCAACACTAAGTCTAGTTCCCCCATCAGGTCCGCCTTGCTGTTGACAGTGCACAGCACTGGGCAGATTCATAGCTGCTCTTCAGTCCGATAGTGGCTTTCAAATCTGCCTACTGTCATATTTTCAATCAAAACTAAGGCAGGTCTGATGGGGAACTAGTCTATCAGGATCTGCCCACCTAGTGACTCAAGTCATTTCCCAGATATAGCACCGCCAAATTTAGGGTAATGACATCAGCACTATCCCTGGCTGTTAAGCCTTTTATTAAAAGTTCCCAGAATGTGATTACCCTTGGCAAACAAAGTAAACCGCACTGACTTACAAAATTATATTAAGACAACTGCATTCACATATTTGGGGATCAAGGATCACATACAAAGCATTCAACAGCTCTCCAAGAACAGGCTACATTCACAAATAGTAAAAACAGGCAAGTTTACTCCAGTCATAATACCGGAATATATTTGCCTAGTAAGTCACCCCTAAAGCAAGGACTCCAACACCAAGTGCACAAAATGCAGCTAAAATGTTTTGTTTTTTGCAACTCCAACACTAACACGGGCAAGAAATAACTGAAAATGCTGGCCTTAAGAGCCAAAACGGGGAAAAAAAAAATGTACAATACCGTGTGTATTAGCAATTCTAACAGTTTGACCTTCGAATACAAGCCAACCAACCCAACACATGATGCATACTTTCCCAGTTTAAAAATGAAATCTCACCTTTTTTCTTAGTGGGAGGATTGACTTTATCAGACATGGCAATTCTCAGTTTTATCTGTTCCTGACCAAGACTTAATGAGAGTATGAGAGAATAGATATTGACGGAGCAGGTTACCACTCCCACTGCTGCATAAACTACAGCTGTTCTCAAGGATTCACATTCAGGGACTTGGCCTATATTTACCAGCCTACTCAGAACTTATCACATAACCAGACAGCTCAGTAACTGATACCACTAAAGCAAGGCAATGTATTTTTCCTGATGCTACCACTGGTCCCATAAACCTGGTGCAGTATAAACACCAACAAAGCCAATTCTTGATTGCAGAGGTTTGGAAAGGCTATTTGTTGGAAGTACAGCTCCTGATAGATCAGAATTACATAAAGCATAACTAAAGCAATTTGGAGAGTGATTAGAATACATATCTCCCATTAAAGAGATTCACCCTATTTGTCCTGTTTACTGTTATCATGAAAATGAAAGTAAAAGAAAAACCCATATTTTGGGCTGAAACCAGAACAGTAATAGACGAGAAATCTTTTCATGGAAACACTCGTTCCGGTGATACCCCAGGATTCCCTCATTATGTGGGGACTCCCTCTCACTTCCTGTTTGGCTAGGAGACAGGAACTGAAGGAAAAGCCCCTCTTTGGGACACAGATGGCAAAACTGACAAGGGTTATAACACTTCCTTACTCTATCCAAATTTTGTTTTTAACAATTTGCATTTAGCACAACTCTTTGAAAAAAAGGTTCATGTTCAATGACTCAATAGTCAAAGAAAATAAAGTAGCATCTATATATTCCTATAAATCCTCCTTACCAACATCATAGTTGAAAAGTTTAGAAGAAAAAATGCTTCCGTAACATTGAAGCACCTCCCTCCTCACCGTGGTTGTAAGGACAGGTTTATTATCTTAAGTATAACTAAAGGCAAAACTTTTTTTTTTTTTACGTTTTGGACAGAATGGAGAGGGATTAAAACACCTGTCTGTTATTACTATCTCTGCCTCCCGTTATTGAAAAATTAAAGTTACTAAACCCACAACAGTAAAATCAGTCTGTATATGTAGTACATCATGCTGGTTATACTCACTGTGGAACCTAAGGGGTTAATCCTCCGCATTGTGTAAAAAGGCTGTTTGAGCTTTTCTTCTCTGCCCTACCTCTTGTTCAAATGTCCATGCAGATAAGACAGACTGAACCATGCCCTTCTGCACATGCTCAGTTTAGCGTGTACTGCTAGAGAGGTTTTTTTGTGTTCTTGGGAGAGTGCATGTGATCAGCACAGGGCCAATCAGCACTGTCCAGACAGAGGTCAGGGGTTCTGCATCCTCCTAGCGAAAACTCCTACAAGCTTTAACCAGTGCTCAGCTGAAGTCACCAGACTTCTCTAACTAAAAATAGATATTAAGCGAGTGCTCTGTGTGTATCAGCAGCTTGCATAAGGATAAACCCCTTGATCCTCAAGATAACATGTAATGAAAAAATGGAGCACTAAGAAATACAATATAATGATAAAGTGACAAAGTGGTAGGTTTATGCGCCTATAAGGTGCTAAATATTGTGATTAGAAGTGTCGTCAATTACGGACGAGAGATTCAGTGAATGGATAATTGTCACAATGTTATATTTGTGAGATAAGTGGTGCTAAAGCAAAAACGGCAATAATAAATCGCAACAATAGGCTATTAGTCCATAGAAGAAATTCATCAGATGATGGTGCTTGTGATTTCCGTGATAGGGAATAAACGTGCTTGCACTCAGCGGAAGCGCAAATATATTGTGCATGTATAGTAATTATCCAGACTGGTACTAGTGGTCATCAGGGTACTGGTGGGGTAGGGGGCTCCAATGGCACACTCTGCACACAGGGAAGGCACTTCAGACCTCACAACTTGGACCCTCTCAGCATGCGGGGACAGCTTCTCCTATGCACTCTCACCTGGATCAGCCAGAGCGACAAACATCCACCTTAGATGGCTCAAAAAAAGGCCACCAAACAAAAGTGCTTGGATAGTGTAGTATTTTAATATGTAATATGCAGCTTAACTACAGAAGCAATCAGTAAAATAGATAAAATTCCAAAAAAAAACAGCTCAGTGATCTAAGTTGTCAAAAACTTAGATACAGCTCAGTGATCTAAGTTGTCAGCTTAGTAACCAAAATAGATCAGATGCCCGCTGCAGTATTATGAAATCAATTCAGTGGCATGAGTAACAGCCAATAGCAAGGCATATATCAAGGTATATATGTCAGCAGTAATCGCAAAGTCAGTTCAGTGGCATAGCCAATAATAGGCATATATGTCAGCAGCAATAGTAAGGCGCATATCATGGCATATATGTCAGCAGCAATAGTAAGGCACATATCATGGCATATATGTCAGCAGCAATAGTAAGGCGCATATCATGGCATATATGTCAGCAGCAATAGTAAGGCACATATCATGGCATATATGTCAGCAGCAATAGTAAGGCACATATCATGGCATATATGTCAGCAGCAATAGCAAGGCACATATCATGGCATATATGTCAGCAGCAATAGTAAGGCACATATCATGGCATATATGTCAGCAGGAATAGTAAGGCACATATCATGGCATATATGTCAGCAGGAATAGTAAGGCACATATCATGGCATATATGTCAGCAGGAATAGTAAGGCACATATCATGGCATATATGTCAGCAGGAATAGTAAGGCACATATCATGGCATATATGTCAGCAGCAATAGTAAGGCACATATCATGGCATATATGTCAGCAGCAATAGTAAGGCGCACATATGGCATATATGTCAGCAGCAATAGTAAGGCGCATATCATGGCATATATGTCAGCAGCAATAGTAAGGCACATATCATGGCATATATGTCATCAGTATTTGTAAAATAAGCTCAGTGCCATAGCCAGATAATAAGCACGTTTTCAAAGGGTTCCCTTTGAAAATGTGCTTTCGCACGAAACACGTCAGAAGGAGCCTGCCGCACTGACGTTATTCTGCCGAGGCCATGTGTCCAGGCCGGCGGCCATCTTGAGGATCATTTTTTACTATGCATATGCTGCCATATATGCCTTATTATCTAGTCATGAGCACCATCATCTGATGAATTTATTCTATGGACTAATAACCTATTGTTGCGATTATTATTGCCGTTTTTGCTTTAGCACCACTTATCTCACAAATATAACATTGTGACAATTATCCATTCACTGAATCTCTCGTCAGTAATTGACGACACTTCTAAATCACAATATTTAGCACGTTATAGGCGCATAAACCTACCACTTTGTCACTTTATCATAATATTGTATTTCTTAGCGCTGCATTTTTTATTACATGACTTCTCTAACTGCTGATGAGAAAAGGTATTTATCAGTTTATATTTACTAAAATAATTGCACTTCCACGTTGTGTGTGCTGGAGGAGATGATATATAATGAATGCAGGGTCCTGGGTTTAGTAACACTATAACCCTTCCGATTTCCATTATCATTGAAAGTGAAATTAAAAGAAAATCCCACATTTTGGATTGTTCCCAGAAACGTAATCGAGGGGAAATCCTCCAATGGGGACACTAGTCCTGGTGACCCCATTGGTTAGTTTGCAAGATTTTCCTTTCACTTCCTTTTTGACTATGAGGCAGGAAGTGAAATCTCTGCAATACGAAAAAAAAAAAAAAAAAAAAAAAAAAAAAAAAGGCTTTGCCTAGTTCTACTTTAAGGTAAAAAAAACAAACAAACCAAAAACCTTCTGTATGCAGTTCCAACCCCTCCTCCCCCAAGCCCTCCCTAAATACTAGAGGCAGATCTTGATCCATCAATGTGCCGCTGCCTCGTACTGATAGATGAGACCTCCAGATTATAGGCAGTATATTAGATTAAAGTGTTATTGTGGTGGTGGTTGTATTCACCTGGGGGATACAAGGATTTTTGAAACATACTTTAGCTGGTGGATGTCCCGTGCTGCCATCTTCATTGATGACATCAATGGGAGCCAGCTGACTGCTTAAAGCAGCCCCACCCAGGATGATGCACTGCCAGGGTTGCCCACCTACAGCCTCTGAATGGAACTTGAAGTATCCTGGGATATGTGATATGTATAATGGCAGGAGGCTTCAGAGTGCTTAAGTCAACATTTTCACCCTGCTACATTACTCAAAAACCCTAGAGGAACCCCAGGGTTCTATACATCCTGGCTGATAATGGCTGACCTAAAAGAACTTTAGGTCTACTTTTACTAGATATACATTTCATAGTACAAGATCAACCCCCTGAGTTGATTCTTGAAACCAACAAAGGCCTCACTGCAAACTTCCTGTACAGGACTTACATGGACTTGTGTAGAACATCCCTATGCAACCCAGACACCACAGACACATGGATAATTACCAAACACACTGACCAGATGATCAAATTCACAGGGAGCAACACAAGGAAAACAACTGCATGGAAATAAACACAGGAAAGCAACCCAAGGGTAAAGAACCATATAGGCTTCTATTTTTAAAGTGGTTGTAAAGGCTGAAGTTTTTTTTTTTTGTTTTTTACCTTCATGCATTCTATGCATGAGGGTAAAAAACCTTCAATGCGCAGCTCCCCCCACAGCCCCCCTAATACTCGCCTGAGCCCCCTCTTGATCCAGTGATGTGCACAGGAGCCTCAGCTGTCCCAGGTCCCTCTCCTCACTGGCTGAGACACAGCAGTGACACAATCTCAGACAGTTAGCCAATGAGGAGAGAGCGGCTCTGTGTCCTATGGACACACAGAGCGGGGCTTGTGAGCAAGCATGCACCTTTGCCCCCATAGCAAGCAGCTTGCCATTGGGGGCGTTGGTAAAGGGGGAGGATCTGGGAATGCCTGCTGGGTACCAAAAAAAAAAAAAAAAAAAAAAAAAACAACACGCAACAAAACAATCACTTTAAGATGCCACAAACTCAAGAACCTCACTCCCCTTTCCACAGAGTGGGGGTGGTGTTGCCCACAAAGCAATCAATGCATCAATATTGGAGGAACAGGAAGTCTCCAGGACTAAATAAAATACAGAAGCCATATGCGGGCACAAAAACGGGAACAATCTGTGTACATTTTCCTGGGAAAAGACAGCATCATATTAAAGGATAGGTTAACCTTTTAAACATGTTACACCCATATTTAGGGTGAAACATGTTACACCCATATTTAGGGTGAAACATGGCAGACTGACAACTCATGGGGCCCCCGGGCAATAGGGGATCATGGGGCCCCTGTGTCCTTGCCAAAACTCAAAAAAGCCTTTGAAAAAAGTACCAGGGGCATCTCATGGGGCCCTCTACTGACCCCGGGCAGTACCTGAGTTTCCAAATGGTCAGTCCGCCCCTGCTCATCACTGATTCACAGGGATCTGTGAGTGAATAAACTACAAGTCCTGTCTGCCGCTCTGGCAGACAGCTTGAAGTTCTCAGTGGACTACGAGGGGCTGATGAGTGCCCTCAGTTACTAGCACCTCCTCCAGCTATCAAACTGAAAGTCCTCATGGTGGTACGGTCAAGAAAACTGCAGGAAGAGTGTACAGGAGGCAGACATTGCACCTGTGATCCACCGATGGTGGGTGTAGTCCTCTGAAGGCTCCTGCAGGGAAAAAATAATAAATGTACTTTTTTTCTGTACAATTATGTGCATTTGTTATATTTCCCTGAAATGTGAACTTAGCCTTTAAATATGATTCTAACAATAAAACAAAAAGGGTTCTTTTACCGACACTTTTCAGATGACCACCTCATACCTGAGCATGATATTTCACCAATAGTAACACGGAAAGAGAAACTAGGATTGTGGGCTTGTCCTTCAGCCTTCTCCAAAGTGTAGACGGGAAGGTTGTTGGTCTTCGTTCCAAATTCATGTAGTAGCTGAATTGGAGTCTTGCTTATGCCAGTTGTGGGCATTTCATTTAAACTACAGAGAGAAAGAATAGTTTGCAAAACATACAAAACAAAAAAAAACACTCAATTTCCCATAATGGCATTCATTTATAAAAGTAGTTTAGCCATTTTCCCTGGTATTAGGGTATTTCCGGCATATACTGGGTGTATAGCAGAATACTGTTCTCTACCTTTCATCATTTACTCCTTTTTGTTTATTTAGTTAACTGGCAGGACAAAGTAGAAGCCATGTGCATGTAGGTAAAAAAATAAAATTGTATTCTCTTGCTAATGAACAATTTTTTCACATGTGGTTGCTCTCATTGGCATCACCCAGATATCAATCTGAAATAAGTACTTCTTGCCCTGCAAGACATATACTGTAACTTAAAGAGTAACTCTACTTAAGTTGAGAAAAAGACATTGCCCTCTGGGTGATCTATTACATTGCAAGGATTCTCACAAACTTTGTTGCAGATTCCTATCTTGTGTTACTCTGCAGAAATAGATGGATGTTTGTTTGTCTGTGTCCATGTGCAGAGGGAAACTGTATGTAGTGAATTCATAGTTCTCAATCAGCAGCTGCACAGGGTTCTAATGAGAAAAGCTGCAAGGTCTGCACCCATTAGATGCAATTTCCCTATGAGAGTATCACACTGAAAATCACATTTTTGTTGCAGGAGATGCTCAAAACCTGACTTGCATCTTGGTGCATAATTCTGGGAAAATCAGGAGCCAATCACACAAGCAGGAAATTACATTTCTGGGGGTGTTCTGTACAGAAAACCTCTAGACAGCCATATTGCATTTTAATAAACAAAAAAAAAAATTACAGAGCTGTAGACTGAAAAGGAAAGGTCATTTTAACAGCATTCAATTAGAATTGTGACACAAGCCCTATTGTATGTGCTATATTCATTTTATTTGCAAAGTTTTTTTCTTGCGAAAAAGGAGTTACCCTTTAAGGTTGCCATACGGGATGTAGTCTGACTGTACAATCTTCCTACAGACCTACCATCAATTACCTAGTGCAAGGACCTGCCTCATTTTATACTAATTAAATAGACTGTATAGGTTTGACCTCATATTTAGTTTTGGTAAATCTAAATGAAATTGTAGAGGTGCACATTTCAGTAAAATCACACTAGTATTGAAATCGCACAGGAATAGTATTCACAAAGAAGCACTGCGATTTCAGCTAAAGAGGCTGCTTGCCTGCAGAAGGCTAAATGTGAAGAAAACTCACCTGCCTGGTGCCTGAAACCGCATGTCCCGGGAATCGGGCGATCTGATTTGTGCATCCCTGGTATGCTTTGCAAAGTGAAACGTCACCTCATTTACTAAGCTCTAGAGCCAATTCCCTTGCAGAGTACAACTTCATTTGTAAAGTGCAGTCTACTTGTCTTTAGAAGATCAACCCCTATGTGTTACACTTTACACCAGAAAGCGTAATACACACCATCATTTCTTCATTCTGAAAGAGTTTCTGTGCACACATTTTATATGCATTCCAGTGCGTTTTCCCCCTCTTTTCTTCATCTCAATGGTGGACATTATGATGCGTTTTTGAGGTGTTTTGCTGCATTCCATATGTGATCCATACAGAAAAAATACATATTCTACTTTTGTTAACTGCACTGGAATGCACTGCACTGGTGTGAACTAGACCCACTGGAATCCATGTTAAACACTGTCCATGCATTTTTGATGCAGAATAAAAATGCACTAGACTGTATCTGGTGTGAACCGGCCCTCAGAGCAAAAAAGTTGTGCCCTGAGCTCAGGAATGGAAATAAATTGTAACATTTCACTAGAAGATCTTTCTGTGAATTAAGACACACTAACGGTAGGTTCACATTATGAATTGGCTATGAATCGTACAGGAATATGCACCACATTCCTCTGCGGTTCACATTCAATTCAGCACGGTGTGATTAGAGCCCAGTCATTTTCAATAGGCTCAAATTGCACCAAAGTAGTGCATGTACTACTTTTGGAAACTGCATCTGGATGTTGTTTTGTACCATGCCTCTGGTGCAGACAAATGTAATGCATTTGCAACCTGCATTTGGGGTGCCATTAACATTGCACTGACATCCGCTGCAGAATGCAAAAGCAGTGCACATTGACATACAGTGCAGTAAACACACATGGATTGCGGGTTTCCTGCACAGTATTCTAGTGTGAACCGAAGCTCTGGGATGTTCACACCAGCAACTACGCAACAATGCAGCAGTTGATGTGCGTGTGACTGGATCAGCCCAGTGCTGAGGTGTCAATCCCGGCACTATAATGCCCTTTACTGAAATGTCACACAGACATTGTATAAAGTTCAACTGGACACCAGTGAATTTCCTCACACTGCATAACAAAGGTATGGCCTGACATACTTTTTTTTTTTTTTCACTATACACCACCACAATGCAGTGCTGTGAACTGGACTGATAAAATGCCTGGTCATGCAGTGGACTGTGCTGGAATAGGCGCTCAAAGCAGTCCCCTTTGGCAAGAAGTGGAGTCCGTTCTGATCAATGGAGGACTCTGCTGTACATTTACATCAGGCTCTCTCTGAATTGGCCCACAAAAATAAAAAGGAACGCAGTACTTTTCTGGACCTAGAAGTAGTCTGTTATGCCCGCCTGTCTATAGGGTTCCATGGACATTCCGATCTGATCCACCTGAAAAAAAGGACAGGAAGACCTGAGCGGAATGCCTGTGTGAAGGAGCCTAAGGAGATTTGCAAAGTTTCTCAATATTTCGGTGTGCCTTCATTCCCAGAACAATCTTCCTCTGGTGCAGGGTAAGGACACACAGCTTCAAAACACTTTTTTTCTGCAAACGCACCTCTATGTGTCCGTGCACATTTATGTGACCAGACAGAATTGAATTGGTTGCCATGCTCCAGCTGCGGCAGATTCTAACCAACTTTGAAAATAAAACCTGCACAGCTGCTCCAGATTTGTGTCTGCTCAGTATGATAAATGCCCCTTACTGTCCCAAATTGGGGCTGGACCAATATCATCACCATCAGGCCAACTGAAGAGATAACCGACTCTTCAGAAGCTGGAGACAAGGGACATAACCTGTAGGTTCAGGAGAAGAGGACCAGCCGGGAACAATGGGAGCAGCAGGAGCCTCCCCTCCCCCCCAATGTAAATATACAATCTGGATTCCATATTTTTTCAGCCAGGGTGGGGGGTGGAGAAGAGAATGGTTGTCCTCTCCATCCTTTTTCTTTGCAATGTCCTGTATCCATATAAACACAAGTGGAAGGGAAGGCAAATCTCAGAGGTTCAAAGGAAATCCTCTCATACAGCTGTCACCGGGACACGCGTTCCCATTGGAGGATCTCCAACCACCTCCCACCCTACTGACAGCTGCACAATGCTGGGATTCCATCTCTGCCAGTGACACCGGTCACCAGGACAAGTACAGAGGGGGAATCTCCCCAGCAGGAACACAGACATCAATAAAACATGACGGGGGTTTGTAAGCTGGCCATACACTATACAATCTGATTGTACATTATGCTTTATCTCGACCACTGACACTCATGCCAGGGGCTTTTTTTGCATCCACTGTCACTAATGATGGGGGCCATTATCACATCCACTGACACCGAGGCTGGGGGCCGTTATCACATCCACTGACATCGAGGCTGGGGGCCGTTATCACATCCACTGACATCGAGGCTGGGGGCCGTTATCACATCCACTGACATCGAAGCTGGGATCTATTATTATGTCCACTAACAAAAATGTTGGAAGGTTATTATCACTCCCACTGGCACCAAGGCTGGGGGTTTTATCGCCCCCACTGGCACCAAGGCTGGGGGCTGTTCTCGCCCCCACTGGCACCAAGGCTGGGGGCTGTTATCGCCCCCACTGGCACCAAGGCTGGGGGCTGTTATCGCCCCCACTGGCACCAAGGCTGGGGGCTGTTATCGCCCCCACTGGCACCAAGGCTGGGGGCTGTTATCGCCCCCACTGGCACCAAGGCTGGGGGCTGTTATCGCCCCCACTGACACCAAGGCTGGGGGCTGTTATCGCCCCCACTGACACCAAGGCTGGGGGCTATTGCATCCAGTGACACCAACATTAGTGGATAGTATTGCATCCACTGACACCAACGCTGGAGGCTATTCTTGCATCCACTGACACCAACGCTGGGGGGCTATTATCGCTCCCACTGACACCAACGCTGGGGGGCTATTATCGCTCCCACTGACACCAACGCTGGGGGGCTATTATCGCTCCCACTGACACCAACGCTGGGGGGCTATTATCGCTCCCACTGACACCAACGCTGGGGGGCTATTATCGCTCCCACTGACACCAACGCTGGGGGGCTATTATCGCTCCCACTGACACCAACGCTGGGGGGACTATTATCGCTCCCACTGACACCAACGCTGGGGGGCTATTATCGCGGCCACTGATACCAACGCTGGGGGGCTATTATCGCTCCCACTGACACCAACGCTGGGGGGCTATTATCGCTCCCACTGACACCAACGCTGGGGGGCTATTATCGCTCCCACTGACACCAACGCTGGGGGGCTATTATCGCTCCCACTGACACCAATGCTGGGGGGCTATTATCGCTCCCACTGACACCAATGCTGGGGGGCTATTATCGCTCCCACTGACACCAACGCTGGGGGGCTATTATCGCTCCCACTGACACCAACGCTGGGGGGCTATTATCGCTCCCACTGATACCAATGCAGGGGGGCTATTATCGCGGCCACTGACACCAACGCTAGACGATATTATTGCATCCAGTGACACCAACGCTGGGGGCCATTATCACGGCCACTGACACCTATTATCCTGTGACACCAACGCTAGAGGATATTATTGCATCCACTGACACCAATGCTGGGGTATATTGTACCCCATGTTCAGTGTGCATTGTGATACACTGCAAAAAAAGAAAAAAAGCCCCAGGAGTAGAATTTTGGGGCACAGAGGTGCAATTATGGAACACTATTGTGTGGCCCTCTGGAGGTGTGGGGGCCAGTC